TGACAGACCTTGTAACCAATCAAATCCAGTCCTGTAACCAAACACACTTTGATTGACAGACCTTGTAACCAATCAAATCCAGTCCTGTAACCAAACACACTTTGATTGACAGATCCCGTAACCAATCAAATCCAGTCCTGTAACCAAACCCGCTTTGATTGACAGACCTTGTAACCAATCAAATCCAGTCCTGTAACCAAACACACTTTGATTGACAGACCTTGTAACCAATCAAACCCAGTCCTGTAACCAAACCCGCTTTGATTGACAGACCTTGTAACCAATCAAATCCAGTCCTGTAACCAAACACACTTTGATTGACAGATCCCGTAACCAATCAGATCCAGTGAAGTAAATTTCCTCTTAATATTCAAAACAGTGTTTGATATCATTGCTTTTAATCTTGAGTTCGGTGTTTGTCTGCGGTGGATGAGCTCAGCTTGTGTTTGTTTTTGTTTTGTGGTGATTATATTTACTAATCACACTGATCTACTAATCACACGTTCACCATCAGTGTTTAAACACACATTAGTTCAGATTTGCATGCTATCCTACTTCTCCGTGTTTATTTCAGTCTCTATTAAATCTTACTGGAGACATCATAATGTCAAGCGTCACTCATAATCAGTGTGTGTGTGTTTCTGCTGCACTTCTCAGTGTGTGTGTGTGTGTGTGTGTGTTTCTGCTGCTGTTCTCAGTGTGTGTGTGTGTGTTTCTGCTGCAGTTCTCAGTGTGTGTGTGTTTCTGCTGCAGGTCTGAGTGTGTGTGTGTGTGTGTGTGTGTGTGTTTCTGCTGCAGTTCTCAGTGTGTGTGTGTGTGTTTCTACTGCAGTTCTCAGTGTGTGTGTGTGTCTGTGTGTGTGTTTCTGCTGCAGTTCTCAGTGTGTGTGTGTTTCTGCTGCAGGTCTGAGTGTGTGTGTGTGTGTGTGTGTGTGTGTTTCTGCTGCAGTTCTCAGTGTGTGTTTGTGTTGTAGTTGAACTCGTACCCTCAGCTGAGAGAAGAGACGGAGAGAATCGTCACCACCTACATCAGAGAGAGAGAAAGCAAAACTAAAGACCAGGTGTGTTTCTAAACCTTCCTCTTGAATCAACGTGTCCCGTGTAATTATTTATTTATGTATTTGTTTGCTTATATAACTCTATAAATGTATCATATTCATATGTATATATAGATATATATCGGATTGAGATCGGGGCAGATCAAGCAATTTTTTAATTGATCGGTATTGGCTCTCCTCAGTCCGATACTTATTTTACGTCAGCTGTCAAGTCGGTGTTGTGCAGTAGGAGACGCCTTTAAGTGGGTTTGCCAAACGCCAATAAAAGCAAAAGAAGATGCTCAATGTGCGTGCGTGACGCGTGTGAAAAGGTGAGGTCTGTTCTAGCGCGTCACACATGTTTGAGCTTCCATGTTCAGTGTATTTAATGCACACTTTTGTAACGATCACTCATTAATTTATCGTTTACATTTATAATTAATATAATCTTACGTTTATCTGCCGTTGCGTTGCTATGGGTTGCGTCTTGATTCAGAATTGACTGGCAGATGGCATTCTGACACCGCGAGTTTCATGCTTTCTAACCTTATATTCACTTTGTTGCAATTACTTTGCTTATTATACATATAAAATACTAAAAGTTTATATCAAGTAGTCCCATATTCATAATTCATATTCACACCGTCTGTTTACAATGTCAACCATTGTAACATGTTTATGTACATCAGCCAATACAGTGCGTGCATATATATATATATGTGTGTATATATATATATATATATATATGAGAGAGAGTATTGTGTAATATATATACATTAACATACATCATACATATATTAATTTTGCTCTCTGCACAACTCTGTATACATTGGATTGATTTTAATAACTTTATTAACCAAACATACATTCTTATAGGAATATACAAGTATCGGATCGGGACTCGGTATCAGCAGATACTTGATATTCAATGACTCGGATCAGATCGGGGGCACAAAAAAACGAAGCTGTTGTACTTTACTCTACAAACATCTCTACACCTCTTTATTTCTGTGTTTTGCTCGGCAACCACAACCGTTTCTGAGGAACTACATTGTTTGGTGGGAGAATGTTTTTGTTAATATCATTGCATTTTATTTGCTTTGTCTTATTTTGTGAAACCTTGCTACGTATATGGAATAACCATTTTATAAAAGCAATAAGCCCCGTGAAGCCATGGTTTACAGTGAATTTATAACAGCTAAGGGGGTTTTAGGCACTCCGCGTCATATATATAAATAAATAAATATATGTCCATTATCTCATAATTTCTTTAAATAACACGTCATGCAGCATGTTTGGGGATTATTTGAACACGATGGGTTTGTGTTTCAGGTGATGCTGCTGATCGACATCGAGCTCTCCTACATCAACACAAACCACGAGGACTTCATCGGTTTTGCCAAGTGAGTGACCTCTGACCTCTGTTGACTTTTGACCCTGATTTCAGTCACGCGAGCGTAACCGTAGTGAACATGTGTGTGTTTCAGCGCGCAGCAGCGGAGTGCAGCCATCAGTAAGAAGAGAGCCATGCCCAACCAGGTACAACACACACACAGCAACTCAAACTGAGCCGAGCGCTGATTGGTCTGTCCCTCCTCATCATTATCATATCCCCACCCCCCCGGTGCAGGTGATCAGACGCGGTTGGCTGACCATCAACATCAGCATAATGAAGGGCGGATCCAAGGACTACTGGTTCATCCTGACCGCAGAGTCTCTGTCCTGGTACAAGGATGAGGAGGTGTGTGTGTGTGTGTGAGCGAGAAAGAGAGTGTGTGTGAGAGAGAGAGAGAGAGTGTGTGTGAGAGAGAGAGAGAGAGAGTGTGTGTGAGAGAGAGAGAGAGAGAGTGTGTGTGAGAGAGAGAGAGAGAGAGTGTGTGTGAGAGAGAGAGAGAGAGTGTGTGTGTTTGCAGGATGGACGTTTATTCCTCACTTTGTGTGAAAATCAAACCCATGCCTCTCTGTGTGTGTGTGTGTGTTTTCCAGGAGAAAGAGAAGAAGTTCATGCTGCCTCTGGATAACCTGAAGCTCAGAGACGTTGAGAAAGGCTTCATGTCCACCAAACAGACCTTCGGCATCTTTAACACCGAGCAGAGGTGTGTGTAACTCTGACACTGTCGCTTACATTCATAAATCAGTCTGATGTGATGCGCTGTTTTGTGCGTTCAGGAACGTGTATAAAGACCTGCGGCAGATCGAGCTGGCCTGCGACTCTCAGGAGGACGTGGACAGCTGGAAAGCCTCCTTCCTGCGGGCGGGAGTCTATCCCGAGAAAGACCAGGTAACCTTCTCACCTAAATATCAGCATGAGCACAGATGAATCTCGTGTAAATCTCACCTAAAGCTCACATTGATCGTCTCCTGAATCTTAGCACAACCTCATCTCACATGAAACTCATCGTAACCTCACCTCAAACTCACAGTAATCTCACTGATTCCCACAACCGCACATTTATCTCACTTAACTCTGACGTCACTCTCATGTGAATCTCACCTTGTTCTCGCTCTTGTGAGATACAGATGTGGTTTTGGTGAGAATCAATGAGATTAAGGTGTGAGGTTATGAGGAGATTCGTCTGTGATTGTGGTGATAAAATGTTTGTCTCGCCTGAAGCTCATCATAACCTCACCTAAAGCTCACATCGAATCTCACTTAAACTCTACTAAATCTCACCAGAGACACACATGAATCTCACTTAAATGTTACTTGAGTCTGACTGTGAAAATCTGCCTTTTCTCATCTAAATATCAGCTCTTGTGAGATTCAGATGTGATTGTGCTGATATTTAGGCGAGACACTAGGTGAAGTAGAAAAAGTAAATCCATTAAAATCTCACCTAAAGCTCGCATGAAACTCATTGAATCTCACTTAAACCTCAACTAAATCTCACAACAGACGCATGAATTTCACTTAAATGTCACATGGATCTGTCAAGCTTGTGTAAATCTCATCATAACCTCATCTGAAATAAGCTCCTTGATTCTCAATTGATTCTCATTTAAACCTCGAGTAAATAATGAATCTCACCTAAATGTTACACAGATCTGACTCTGAATCTCATAGAAATCTCAATCATGAATCTCCCATAATTCTCGCACAATTGTCTCTAAATCAGGATGAATAAATACAGGATTCTCACCTAAATATCAGCTCTTGTGAGATTTAGACGTGGTTTTTGGTGAGATTTAGGTGAGAATCAATGAGTTACATGTGAGAGTTACGATGAGATTTATCTGTGATTGTGATGATATTTAGGTAAGAGTTTAGTTGAGAAAAATAAAGTAAATCTCACCTGAAGCTCACATTAATCTAATTAAACCTCAACTAAACCTCACAACAACCGCAGACGGATCTCACTTAACTATGACCTGAATCTGCCTGTGAATCTCGTGGAAATCTCACCCGAGTCTCGTCGTAAGCTCACATCAATCTCATTGATTCTCACCAAACCCCCGTCTGAATCCCTCCAGAAGGCCTGGGATCTCATAATAACCTCTCAGTCCCGTGATTCTGAGATGATCTGAGCGTCTGTCGTCTCGTTGTTTTCTCAGACGGAGAACGAGGACAGCGTTCCGGCCGATTCCCTCTCCATGGACCCTCAGCTGGAGCGGCAGGTGGAGACCATCCGTAACCTGGTGGACTCCTACACCGGCATCGTCAACAAGAGCATCCGAGACCTGATGCCCAAAACCATCATGCACCTCATGATCAACAGCGTGAGTGTGACGGCATCAGCGGCGTGGCCTACATGCTTTAACATCATTTATTCACATTAATCAGGTGTCAATCACAGATGATTTGTGTGATCTATTTATTATTGTTTTTATTTACTTTTTTCATTCATTTTTGTGTATTTATTTATTTTTGTGTTTTATGTATGTATGCATGTTTTGGGGGTTTATTTGATTTTTTTAATTTTATGTTTTTGGAGTTTATTTTTTAAATGATTTATTCATTTACCGTTTTTTTTAATTTTTTTATTATTATTGGAGTTTTAGTGTTTATTTTACACTTTTATTTATAATGTTTTTATTGATCTTTTTTATTAATTATCTACTTTTTTATTTTGTTTGTGTTTTTGCATTGTTTTCTTATACATTTTTTATTATATGTCTGTCTGTCTGTCTCTCTGTTTACCTATCTGTTGTCTGTCTGTCTGTTTGTTTATCTATCTGTCTGTCTGTTTATCTGTCTGTCTGTCTATCTATCGTCTGTCTGTCTGTTTATATGTCTGTCTGTCTGTCTCTCTGTTTATCTATCTGTTGTCTGTCTGTCTGTTTGTTTATCTGTCTGTCTATCTATCTATCTATCTATCTGTCTGTCTGTCTTTTAATTTTTTTATTATTATTGGAGTTTTAGTGTTTATTTTACACTTTTATTTATAATGTTTTTATTGATCTTTTTTATTAATTATCTACTTTTTTATTTTGTTTGTGTTTTTGCATTGTTTTCTTATACATTTTTTATTATATGTCTGTCTGTCTCTCTGTTTACCTATCTGTTGTCTGTCTGTCTGTTTGTTTATCTATCTGTCTGTCTGTTTATCTGTCTGTCTGTCTATCTATCGTCTGTCTGTCTGTTTATATGTCTGTCTGTCTGTCTCTCTGTTTATCTATCTGTTGTCTGTCTGTCTGTTTGTTTATCTGTCTGTCTATCTATCTATCTATCTGTCTGTCTGCAGTGGATTTTTGGGGTCTCTCTCGCACCTCCAGCATGTCTCAGTATGTTCAGAGTGTGCAGTGTTTTCATGAAGCTCTTTCTCGATCTGATCTGGTCTGTGTGTGTGTCAGGCGAAGGAGTTCATCTACTCGGAGCTGCTGGCGTTTCTGTACTCGTCTGGCGATCAGAGCAGTCTGATGGAGGAGTCGGCCGAACAGGCGCAGCGGCGCGATGAGATGCTCCGCATGTATCACGCGCTCAAAGAGGCGCTGCACATCATCGGAGACATCAGCACCAGCACTGTTTCTGTACCTGTTCCTCCACCTGTGGACCACACCTGGATCCACAACGACCCCAGGTACACACACACACACACAGTCAGGTCAGCTATCCTTGTGGGGACTCTCCATAGTCGTAATGGTTTTTATACTGTACAGACCGTATATTCTATTGCCCTACACCAACCCTACCACTAAACCTACCCCTCACAGGAAACTTTATATATATATATATGTATATATAATGTATAATACCTGTTGTTTACAATTTTTAGTGAATGTTTTATTTTAATATTTGCATTATAAAATGATGTTTAAGACATTTAAGTCATGTCTTTCTCTCTGTCAGTCCTCCATCGCAGCATAAACCATCCTCAGTCACGGCTCCGCCCCCTGGTCGCCCCCCTGCAGTGCGAGGCCCCACCCCCGGCCCTCCGGCCCCACCTCCTCTTAACCCCTCCCCTGCGTTCGGAGCTCCGCCCGTTCCATCCAGGCCTGGCCCTCCTCCAGTCAACGCTAATGTGTTTGGGAGTGGCTCCCCGGGGGGGCCCCCCCCCCCCGCGCCCTCCTCCAGTCAACGCTAATGTGTTTGGGAGTGGCTCGCTGGAGGCTCCGCCCCCTCAGGTGCCATCCCGCCCCGCCCGCGTGCCGCCCGCTCTGCCGCCCGGCATACCCAGGTACGATCAACACCCTCAAACTGTCTCACGCTGCATGAATTATTCACTTAATCCTGGAAGAAATATGCCATTTTACAAAAAAATAATCAGTAGTGACGTTACTATTCCTACTATTGTGAAGGCTTATGAAAATTAATTAATATGTCCAGGCTTTTAACCTAAAAAATATTCATGAGCCACAGGTTATTCGTAGTATGATTCCCTGATTGGCTGACTGACTAGCAGAAACAACATCCTTTCATGCATTTCAACAAATCATTTTTTCCAACTGGCTGAATGTAATTAATATTCATGAGCCAATAAGTATGATTCATTAAGTCCTTCACGCTGAAAGCACACAAACAGAAAATCATATGGTAATCATAAAGTAGTTGTGCTGTGACTAATCATAAAGGAACAACATCAGCCTCATATAGAGACATTTTTTATTTAACTGTTTCATGTACATTTTGTGGATGGAGTGTTGAAATTTTTGTCAAAAATAGATTTTACTAGTATTAGTTGTGACTAAACAAACAGTTTTTTTTAGTTTAACATTATTTTCATGTTACATATTTTTATGATTTAATTCATTTTAGTGTTTTTTTATACGGAAGAGGATTAGGGCCAAGCAATGATAAAAAAATAAAACCAGTCATTAAAAAAGTCATTAAATTTAGAGAAAAAACTCATTCGATTTCGAGAAAAAAGTCTAAATAAAATTGAGAATAAACTTGTTAAATTATGGGAAAAAAATTACATTTTGAATTCGTTAGAAAAAACGTATTAAATCTAAATGATTATCTTATCTAAATTAAATGTTGAGAATAAACTCAACAAGAAAAAAAAGAAAAAAGTTACATGCTACATCCACGTGCATTACTCTCCAACCTCCGCCACTGCAGACGCTGTTTGACCACGTCCAACCAGATTAAATAAACCTGACACGAAATTCAGTTACTTTTTTCTTGTAATTTAAGTCAAGTTAAAATGTATTTCTATAGCACATTTAAACTGACATTAATCAAAAGCCAGAGAAAACGAATAAGATTTGAGAACAGACTTAAGACTGGCCAGTGAAGGAGCAAGTCTCACATTTACAGGCAAACTATTACCAAAGTTTAGGAGCTGCAGCTGAAAAAGCCCTTGGTTTTACAGTGGGACAGTTCCTAAAATAGACCCTTGGGGCACACCGCATGACAAAGGAGCCGACGAAGAAGAAAACTTCCCAAGTTTATTCTCGACATTTTATTTATCTCGAAATGTAACATGTTTTCTCATAATTTAATGAGTTTATTCTCAACATTTCAAATTTTTTCTCAATTTTACGAGTTTTTTCTTAAAATGTATTGACTTTAATCTCGAGATGGTTTTATTTTTTATTATTGCTTGGCCCTAATCCTCTTGCATAGTTTTATCTTGATTGTTTTATATTAAAATTATTTTACTTTTACATTTGATTTCATTAATTTGACTCAAATGTTTTTAGATTTTTTTTAATATTCAAATTATTTTTACTTTTACATTTTTAGATGTTTTATTTTGATCAGATCGACATTTTATTTAATTAAGCAAGTATTTTATTTTATTTTGATTAGTTTTTTTATTTACTAAAATTTGTCTATTTCTAATTTTTATGAATGAATATTTCGTTTTTATTTACTTTAACTCTTTCCCCGCCAGCATTTTTGAAAAAAGTTGCCAGCCACCGCCAGCGATTTTGATGATTTTCTCTAAAATTTGATGGCCTCCAGTATATTTTGCTGTATGAATATTTGAATATGCAATACAACAAAATAAAGATCCTCTACTTAAAACAAAATCAGTTTTATTCTAGCTTAAAGCATTCTTTTTTTATCAACACTTGATTATAGGTAGGTTTCATTAAAAAATGCATAATTTTGAACAAAAAGGTGAGAAAATCACATTTGAACATATCTGGATAATATTCAGTACGATTATCAAAGCATAAATCCAGTAAATCGCTTCTATCGACACCTCCAAAGCTTGCACAGACATATACCATTCCTGGATCAACATTTCACTCTGTAGCATTATGCAGTTTTCATTTATATGCTGTCTATTGCATCGCATAATTTTTCATATGCATCTGTTTACATAAGAGATCGCTCGTTTCTCCGTCCTGTACACGTGTGTTTTTGTTCGGGAGGTTTTGTCCTCGTTCAGAAGATGTGTAATAGCGCCCCATTTGAACATATCTGGATAATATTCAGTACGATTATCAAAGCATAAATCCAGTAAATCGCTTCTATCGACACCTCCAAAGCTTGCACAGACATATACCATTCCTGGATCAACATTTCACTCCGTAGCATTATGCAGTTTTCATTTATATGCTGTCTATTGCATCGCATAATTTTTCATATGCATCTGTTTACATAAGAGATCGCTAGTTTCTCCGTCCTGTACACGTGTGTTTTTGTTCGGGAGGTTTTGTCCTCGTTCAGAAGATGTGTAATAGCGCCCCCGAGTGTATAACAGTGAAAAGCCGTAAAAACTCGTCTTTGGCGGGGAAGCGGTGTCTTCTAAAAGACGAGATAGCTCGTCAATGGTGGGGAAAGAGTTAATTTGAACAGTGCCCGCTGAACTGCTGGCCATGTCGGCTGGTAATTATCTTCTAGTTGCAGTTTTTCGTAGGCGTCTGGAGTTGATCGTCTTGTGTCTGTGTGTAGCAGGAGGCCTCCAGCCGCTCCGAACCGGCCCACTATAATCAGACCGTCAGAGCCGTCTCTGCTGGACTGAAGAGGATCCAGAGAACGCCAAAGAAAACTACAACACACACAAGTGTCATGGTTCAAAAAAGGGCTACACATCGTTTCACTGACACATGATATATATGTCATCTCTTCCGTGCCTTTTCTCCAAGTAGTAGTAATAACAAGACATTTTATGATTGAGTTAAATAAGCATTTCCACGTATGTATGATGTTCTCCAGAAATGATGATTTCAGGGGATTTGTTGGGAGGTAAACGTGTGACACCGATGCACAGGTCCGTTCATTTCACTCACAGAATCATGTTTACAGACGACTGAACCTCGACTGGCCGCACGAAACTTTAACACTCCAGTTTCTATGCTATGTGTGCAGAAACACTTATTAGCATTCCTAATGAAGACAGCAGACACCAGTCACAGTTGCATCATTTCTGGACACTATTTTGAACACTTTTTATGGTCTAAACGACACACTAACTCCAGAGCATCTCAAAAACCTCCTCTTAATACACAGAATACTGTGTTCATTAACACAATGTACTTTGGTAGCATTAAATACACTTCTCGATATTTTGCCTTAAACCACTTTATTAAGTAATTCTAGATGTGAGGACTTGTTAAACACTTGTTTCGCAGTTAAACACTCGCCGTCTTGTTCAGCTTCGCTCCTCCAGTACATTGATTGGGTTTATGGATGTTTAGATATTAACTCGTTAGGGAAATTATTTTATATCATGTATGTCTAACACGAGATCTTTCTTTCATCTGTTCATCGCTCTTTCATTTATTGTCTCTGTCGCTTGTTTTATGTTTTTCATGACATTTCGCGAGGACTGCGAACAAAAGCACGCTTAACCAAAATGTAGTGATTATTATTAACAATAAAAGGGCAGTTTGTTAAACTAAAGATTTGATTTCTTTTCTTTTTTTCTCAAATGTTCATGCAGCAACCCAAAGATTATTCTTTTTTTTTTTTTATGAATTTTGTTTGTTGCGGATGTGAATCAGTTTACTTCCGTAACTTGTTTAATGCAAAACAGCTGGTCATGATTTATGATTAATTCTTTCATAAATGTTTTTTAAATTATTTTAGTTTGACATTTTTATCATTGATAAATATTTAGTATTTTATTTTGATTTGTTTTTATAGTAAAATTATTTTAAAAAAAATGTTAATGTAATTTTTTAGTGTTTTTTTTAATACCTCATTTATTGCATATTCATGATTTAATTAAGTATTAGTAAGCATTTTATTTTAATTTGTTTTTAGACTAAAAACAACCTTTTTACTAACGTAATATGATGCATTTCCAAGTGAAAAAAAGAGACCAGATCATGGATTAATCTAATGGAAAAGAGTTTCGGTGTTACGGTCTCTGTATAAATAAGAGCATTTAATGTCATCTGATGCAAAAAAAATAAAAAGTCATTAGTTATTACAATTACCTAGAGATGAGCAGATGAAGCCCTTTTGAGGCGTTTTCCTGATGTACCAAAAAAGCTTCAAATCCTCAAAGACAGACTCTACCGGTGACATCTAGTGGCCAGCTGCAATTATAGCAGCCACTCACGCTTCTTGTTGATCCCAGTTTCAACACAAAAGTAAAAAACTAAATAGTTGAACACCACAGACACCATGTACAAACATATGACCCCTTTTATTAGATTTAATCTGTAAAACTCTTTAAAAAAAAAAGCACACGGCTGTACAGAAGATTCCCTTTGTTGACGATAACAGCACATTTTCACATTTTCCCAAAACGGCTTCATCTCACATCAGGAAATGACGGGACTGAAAACGACAGAACTATGAACATTGAGGCGACAGGAAGACATGAAACGGACAGCTAGGTAAAGTCCGGATGAAGCGCGATCATCTCGGCTGGACCGGGCTGTTATTATTGCTGCTGTGGTTGTTATTGCTCTATTCTGGCTGTGTGTGGTCTCTGGTGTCAGGAGCAGACTCTCCTCCTGTCGTCGAACAGCCGGCGGACGGTGTAGACCTGCGTCAGCGCCACGCTCAGCAGCACCAGCAGGTTGACACAGGACCAGAAGGAGACCCGCCACAGGTTGTCCTCCAGCAGGTTCCTGGCGCGTGCCTCGAAGGCCCTCAGGACCATCTGCATCTGCCGACTGCGCTCCAGCCGCCGGTGAACCGTCTCCATCGACTCCTGCAGCAGACACACAGACATCACACTTCATCCTCCAGATTCAGTCAGATCTGATCAAGTCACGTCTGACCCGGAAAGAGTATAGTATTTAAATAAGAAATTATATTCTGCTTAAAGTGTTGTTATTGTCTGGTAACTGACATTAAAACTGGATTATTAGATGAAAAACAAACTTAAGATCTTAAATTTGACGAAAATTAGAATTAAAAGAAGTGTGAGTGTGTGAGAAAAAGAAAAATATAAAATAAGTTATATATATATATATGTATAAAATAAAGTAAATGCTTTATGTACTGCTTAAAGTAAATTAAAGCTTTATTTAATGTTTTGAGATTATTTTCAAATAAATAAACAATTTCCCACTGATTATTATCCATTATATACAGTGGGTACGGAAAGTATTCAGACCCCCTTAAATTTTTCACTCTTTGTTATATTGCAGCCATTTGCTAAAATCATTTAAGTAAATTTTTTTCCTCAATGTACACACAGCACCCCATATTGACAGAAAAACACAGAATTGTTGACATTTTTGCAGATTTATTAAAAAAGAAAAACTGAAATATCACATGGTCCTAAGTATTCAGACCCTTTGCTCAGTATTTAGTAGAAGCACCCTTTTGATCTAATACAGCCATGAGTCTTTTTGGGAAAGACCCAACAAGTTTTTCACACCTGGATTTGGGAATCCTCTGCCATTCCTCCTTGCAGAGCCTCTCCAGTTCTGGCAGGTTGGATGGTAAACGTTGGTGGACAGCAATTTTTAGGAGAGACCAGATCATGGATTAATCTAATGGAAAAGAGTTTCGGTGTTACGGTCTCTGTATAAATAAGAGCATTTAATGTCATCTGATGCAAAAAAAATAAAAAGTCATTAGTTATTACAATTACCTAGAGATGAGCAGATGAAGCCCTTTTGAGGCGTTTTCCTGATGTACCAAAAAAGCTTCAAATCCTCAAAGACAGACTCTACCGGTGACATCTAGTGGCCAGCTGCAATTATAGCAGCCACTCACGCTTCTTGTTGATCCCAGTTTCAACACAAAAGTAAAAAACTAAATAGTTGAACATCACAGACACCATGTACAAACATATGACCCCTTTTATTAGATTTAATCTGTAAAACTCTTTAAAAAAAAAAGCACACGGCTGTACAGAAGATTCCCTTTGTTGACGATAACAGCACATTTTCACATTTTCCCAAAACGGCTTCATCTCACATCAGGAAATGACGGGACTGAAAACAACAGAACTATGAACATTGAGGCGACAGGAAGACATGAAACGGACAGCTAGGTAAAGTCCGGATGAAGCGCGATCATCTCGGCTGGACCGGGCTGTTATTATTGCTGCTGTGGTTGTTATTGCTCTATTCTGGCTGTGTGTGGTCTCTGGTGTCAGGAGCAGACTCTCCTCCTGTCGTCGAACAGCCGGCGGACGGTGTAGACCTGCGTCAGCGCCACGCTCAGCAGCACCAGCAGGTTGACACAGGACCAGAAGGAGACCCGCCACAGGTTGTCCTCCAGCAGGTTCCTGTCGCGTGCCTCGAAGGCCCTCAGGACCATCTGCATCTGCCGACTGCGCTCCAGCCGCCGGTGAACCGTCTCCATCGACTCCTGCAGCGAGAGAGAGAGGTAGAGGGAGAGAGAGAGAGAGGGAGAGAGAGGTAGAGAGAGAGAGAGAGAGGGAGAGGGAGAGAGAGGAGAGAGGGAGAGGAAACACAGATGCTCAGCTTCATCTCGCAGAGTAGATCTAACATCACAGAAAACCGTCTCGTCAATCACCAAAATCACATATTTCACTCTAAAAGAAGTATAACATTTAAATGAGAAGTGATGTTCTGCTTAAAGTGTTCTTACTGTTAATTAGAACAAGGACTATTTACAAATTGTCAAGTTTTTCGTAAAATTAAAACATTAATATCAGATGAAAAACAAACTTTAGATCTTAAATTTGACAAATTAGAATTAAAGAAAATTTAAAATGTATATATTTAAATAATTCAAAAAAGTATATATATATATATATATATATATATGTGTGTGTGTGTGTTTATATGTGCGTATATATATATATATATATATATACGTGTGTGTGTGTGTGTTTATATGTGCGTATATACAGTGGGTACGGAAAGTATTCAGACCCCCTTAAATTTTTCACTCTTTGTTATATTGCAGCCATTTGCTAAAATCATTTAAGTTAATTTTTTTTCCTCATTAATGTACACACAGCACCCCATATTGACAGAAAAACACAGAATTGTTGACATTTTTGCAGATTTATTAAAAAAGAAAGAAAACTTATAATTGAAATATTAATAAATAATAAAAGTGTATAATTAATACTAATATAACACTGCTGAAAGTAAATAAAGCTTTGTTTAATGTTTTGCATTGTGAGATCATTTTAAATTAAATAAACACACTTTTCCACTAATTATTATCCAGTTCTATATACACATATATGTAATTAGATTTAGCTTAAAGTCAGTGTTATTATTGTTAATTAAAACTAAAATGATTAAAACTGTTTTGGTAACTGAAATGGAGCTGAAATAAATAGTAGATGGGGTAAAACTAAATGAATTAAGTTAAGTACTAAAGTTAAAATAAACTGAAGCTAACTAGATTATAAAATCTAATGAAAATGACAAATTAAAAATAATAAATAGTAACAAATAGTATATGTTACTAGAAATATTAATACATACTATTTAGTATAAACAAAGCCACAATAACACCGCTTAAAGTGAAAGCATTTAAGATGTTTTACATTTTGAGATTATTTAAGTTGTTTAATAAAAATGCAAGGGTCACAAAGGTACACTTGCCCCAAAGACTTAATGTGCAGGCCTTAAACTGAGCTGGTTTGTGTTTCTGTGGTAGCTGGACACCATCCATACAGTGTTAATTACTTCACCCAGAATATCTTTACACATTCACTCGCCTTTATGTCATCCAGCTTGTACTCTAATAGGCTCTCTGGCTCTCCAAGCCCCGCCCACTCGTCGTCCGCTCCCGCGTCATTGGCTGGGCTGTCCAGGATGACCTCGAAGAAGACCATCTTCTCGGAGAACCTGCTGAAGCTGTTGTCGAAGCAGATCTGATAGTCTCCCGCCTCCGTGGGCTCCACCCTGAAAACAGCGGACCAATCACACGCGAGTAACCGCCGGAGCGGCAGCCAATCATACGATACGGGTCTCCGGCGCAGACGTGTAAGTTCTGTGTGAACAGACCGATTCGCTGCTTGTGGCGTTAAATGGAGCTCAAACTAGGAGATATAAACTTGCGTTTGTGAGAAAAATAGTGCGGAATTGTGAGATAAATTAGGCAAATGTTATGTAAAATGTTAATAGAAATGGGTTTAAATAGTGTTTCGTGCGTTTAATACATGAACAGCACATGTGAATATTACGCAGACCTACGGTTTAGATGTGAACACTCACATATGAACGCCGTCGGAACGGCGAAACTCCGAGACCAGGTAGATCCCGTGAGGAGAGACGATGGAGAAATCCACATCCATACCTGCTCCAGCGATCACCTGCACAAACACAGTGCCACATAGAACTCTGCGTGCCCTAGCAACCACACACAGCACCCTAGCAACGTAAGCATCATTCACTTAACTGGTATCATATCACGGTGCCATCACGGATCTGAGGCAGGATACGTGCTAAACCAACACCTCACACCCTTCACTGACACACACACACACACACTCTCTCTCACAC